CCTCCTCCCAAAGTCTCTTCTTATATACTCTCTTGTGAGGAGCTTAATCACAACCACCTGGGTCCAACTATCTCCTTTGTCTCTGTAATTGCTGTCGGCACTTATCCGCCCATCTCTGCCGGGCGTCCGGGACCAATTCCCTCTGCACCTCATCACTGCTCAAGGGCCTGACATCTTCACCACTGCGCCAGGGCCTGACGTCAGGGACAAACTCCCTTTGGCTTTCACCGCTACTTCATGCCTCAGGTGCCTCCTGGTGGCCAACCAGCCTCTCTGGTCCCTGTTTGGAGTCTGGACCCTGCCCAGGGTCCTCCACATCTTCCAGAGCCGACTCATAGGGTCCCTCGCTATCGGAGCCTGTTTGCAGCTCCAACAGCTCCTGCTGGGCCACAACACTTATCTAACTCCAAGCAGTTGCTAACCATTGAGACAATTCCTGTCCATTGCTATTTTTTAGCAGTAAATCAGTTTAATTGGACCTTCAGGTATGGAGATGCTCTTTCACACCTGATACCAGCCATTGTATTAGGCAGCAGCACTAAATAGGCATTCACATTGTGTTGTGGTATAATTTATATATTCAGACATAGTGTATGATATCAGCATAGGACTTGTATTTTTTTAGCCTGAGTTTAAAAGTGCATGCATTGTGTACATCTCTCCTTCTCTAGGGCATGCCAAATTTTCCAACTTTCAATTTCCAAACATAAGGGGCGCTCAAATGTTGTGATGTGCCTTGGGGACGGTAAAGATACTTTGGTTACTTTAATATAATTTAGATGTGCTTGGTAAATAACTACATTAATGTTGAAACATTTTGCTTGGTTCATTAATCACGCCATACTGATGATAGTGATGACTAGTGTTTGCAAAAGCCCCTTTTGCTAATGATTTCTTTTTTTAATAGCAATAGCACTCAGACTTACATACCGCTTCACAGTGCTCCACAGCTCTCTCTAAGTGGTTTACAAAGTCAGCCTATTGCCCCCAACAATCTGGGTCCTCATTTTACCCACCTTGGAAGGATGGAAAGCTGAGTCAACCTTGAGCCTGACTGCCAAATTGCAGGCAGCCGGCAGTCAGCAGAAGTAGCCTGCAGTACTGCATTTTGACCACTGCGCCACCGGGGCACAGGAATTTAGGAATAACATGCCCTGATAGTTTTCATTGAAATGTCGTTCCTGAGCAGCCTGTCTGCATGTGTCCAGATCAAACACCTAAAGGAAGGAAGGGGAGTTTGAGGGTTTCCAAGTCTAACCTTGTTGACCTCTTGGGTCAGAGCCTGGATGCTGTAAATGCTAAGGCTGCCATTTTCCATCACTGCTGCAATGTACCTTCCAGAAGGGCTCATGGCAGCCATGCTGATGCCCTCTTCATGACTGCCAAGGTCAAACAGCAGCTTGCACGTACTGATGTTGATAAATCGCATGATATTATCTTGGCTCAGCACTCCAAGGACCTAGAGGGAATGAGGGGAGAAAAAAGGAGGGATTTAAAAGACAGTTCATTTGCATTCATTTCAGTACAGGTAGTCCTTGGCTGATGATGAATGGCCCCTCCCAGAGAAAATACAAGAGGAGCGAAAGGGGAGTGGAGTTTGCAGGAGACAATTAGTTTGCTTAATTGGCTCGTGACTCTCCGAGACTCCTTGCCAAGTTTTGCAGATATCGGCCTGGCAGCTCTCTACGCCAGATAAGGTCTGCGATGGTAAATCCTCCCTTGAAAGACTTTGTTGTGTGTGAATGAGAAGAATTCACAGTAAATTAATAAAAGGGGTTTTTGTCAGGACAAGGAGTTTGCTTCATGCTCTTGGGAAGCCTTGAGAGACCGCCTTCTGCCGATTACCTCCCTCCGACCGATTAGATCGCACAGACTGGGCCTCCTCCGAATCCCAT